GATGATCCTTGTAGCAGGATTTGGGAACCATGGCACCCACCATACTGCAATTCTAGGTCTTAGTCTCACTTGAAAAATGAGATGGTTAGACTACTGATCTTACAAAATTCCTCCTAGCTCTGACTGTCAAGCAATATCTTTCATATGTAATCTAAATGTAATTATCTACATGTTTCCATTTGTCATTGACTTTGGAATAAATTTTTATTTGCATTTTTTTTTCTTTAAGGTGTGCCTAATCTTATAGACGTTAGCTTCATGTAACACCAAGGTCAAGGGTTCGGATCCCCATACCAGCTAGCTTACTAAAACCAACCAAACAACAAAACAACCAAACAAAAAAGACTAAACTTTGTAAAAATCAAAAAGTGACAATTTTTCTGTCTTACCCCATTACTCATGAAAATACATCTCACCATTCCAAAGGCAAATACCTTTGGATAGAACCCTTAACAATGCTTCAGCATTTGAATTTGGGATTCCTTAGGATCTACTTTTCATGAAGAAAATTTCCCTTTCTGAGTTGTTGCTTTTAATATGTGTCCCTATTTTACTTAAAGTGTACCACTTTAATGACTGGAATAATCCTAGCTATAAAGTTTCCTCCTTCCAAGATAGTGCTGGATAAACTGCTAAACTTGAAGTCTAAGCTAGTCTAATTCTAACTCTCTAGTTAAGATATAAAGCTGACCAAATCCCTTTCATTAATATTCTTTCTTTAGAGAGGGAACAACACTACTGATTAACTTAGGGCTGGAAGATTTCAGTTTCATGCTTTTTAATACAATTAGGCATTCCACAGAAAGCCTCACTATTCCCGAGATTGTTTTATACTCCTAAACCACCCACTTAGGTAATAATTATATCAGTGGGGCCCTCCTGCATCATGTTTTTCCTCTTCCTAGTTTCAATCTTTGAAGTCGGTCAAAGTACTGGAGTTTTTTAGCTATTGCTGTCCACACCTCTCATACTTTAGTACTGACTGTAGTCCAGAACTTGGCTAATGA